ATTGATTTTGTGTGTGTGTTTTGGTTTGTTACCGATTTGTTTTGATTTTTGCTTTAGAAGGCTCTCTACTAAGTTTGCAAGCCGTGTCGTAGTCTGGAAGCTGAAGGATGAGAAGGGAAAAACAATAGATGTAACAACAAATGCTCTGCATGATGAGTGTAAAGTGACATCTTTTTGTGCAGAGGGTAGTTGTACAAGTTCCATGGTCCTTAGTAAACTGTATCTTGTTATATTACATAGATAGTGCCTATTTATCTAGATGACAGACTTCCATACAAATCTATTTCATGAAAATACTAAGACCTTCTGAAATTTTAACTGCATACCAATTAGCTGGGGGCCTTTATGTTAAAATGCAGGCTTTAATATAGTTCTTGGTGTTGCCTACAATTCTACATTTCTAACAAACTTCCAGGTGGTGCTACAGCTCTATTCCATGGATCACATTCAGCATAAATGAACCTCGAAGAAAGACCTGGGAGATTAGACGCTGCTATGCAAGTCACACAAGCCCTTCTAATACCAGTTCACTCCACAGCTTAAAGAAACTCAGGCCTAGACCACCCACTGTCTGAGTGAAAGGCACTAAGGTCCTTCTAGGAATTCTTGAGTTTTCAATTTGACACTGATAATAGAGCTCTAGTTTAATCCCTTAATTTTACTGATGAGGATATTGAGCTCCTCAGGGGTTAAACCATTTGGTCATTATCACATAACTATTGAAATGTATGGTCAGGATTCTAACAGCAGTCTTCTGACCAGTGTGCTTTACCGGCTTCCTGTAAGGCAGGAAGTCAGCCTCCAACAGAAGATACAGGGACAGGATACAGTGTGAACAGTGGAGGCATCAGCAAAGCTGGGGCAGAAAACAAAGGATGATGAAACCAGTGTAGGTTCAATAAACGAATCTATGAAAGATAAGAGACAACAAAGTGTAGAATTAGTAATTTAATATTGATATAACAGTTATGATGGAGGACAGCAGATCAAACAGGGTCATTTGCACTAGGATACGGTGTGTGAGACATAAGGGTCTGGGGCGATCATGTGAGCTCCTTTCTTCCTCATGCGGTGAGTGATCCAGGTTCAGGTCTCAGGCAAAACTGCCATGATACCCTTTCTTCTCTTTATTACACTAGATGAGAGCCTGACTTAGAGGCCTCCCAGATTCAGGCAAGGACTAAGGAGTCCATTCCATAGCCCTCTAAGATGTTTAATGATTAAGCAGAAACATCTGTCTCCAACGGGTGTAATTCAACCCAAGTCTCATAGGCAGGAAGGAAGGGCATGCAGGGTAGGCTAGCAAAGTCCCAGCAGGATTAATCAACAAGGTCCCCAGTAGTGCCAACTCTCACAGTGGACTTCATGAGGCTCTCTCTTTATGATCTTGAGGTTACATTGATCCTGATGTTGGCTTTCTACCTCCCTTTAACTCCTCCTCCTAAGAATGGAAAACTTCAAAGCTTGCCAGTATGGTTCTGATAAGCACTTAAGATTGAAATTGAATAGACAAATATCATGCAGAGAATTCTCTAATTCAGGCACTTCCTGACATCAATGCTGCTACCTTTAGGATGAAATCCTTGTCACCTGTTTTTCGCATTGTCACTTTGGAAAACCTGGGAGGAACATTACTGCATATGAACGCTTTGAACTCCTCCAAAGAAAAGAAAAGGTTCTAGGACCACTGTCACTTGTCTGAGCGGACATGGTAAGGAAAGGATGATCACATGCTAAGGGAATCTGGAACAAAAAAGCAAGGTGGGGTGGGCATCGTTTACTTTAATGGCAAGAAACTGGCGGGAGAGGCATAAAACACAAAAACATATCGCAGCAGAAGAGATGGTAAAGAAAGTGGCAGTAGCTAAGGAGAGGCACTTCTTTTCCTGGACAATATTCTCAGAAGGAGAAGATAGCAGGATTCACAGATGACTTCAGGAGGGTATTAGCCACTTTCACAAGAGCTTGCGTGGTGGAGCCTGTGGTGAGGGGAAACAAGCGTTAGGGCTGAGGCATAGCAATGAGAGTCCTCTCACCATCCTTGACCATCTACCCTGAGTCCTGCTTTTCTCTTTCCTCAATTCCCCTGATTTTTCTCTTCTTACCACCCAGATTCTCCTTGCATCTTCTCTGGCCCTGGAAACACCCAGCAGCAGTGAGATAAAGAGAGGTATGTGTGCTCTACTCCAGTCTTGCACTCGGTACCGAGACAGTGAGGAGAATAAATGCCCCTTGTCCTCCTCACAGTTCGTACTCCCCATCCACGTCCCTGTCCCTCTTTACTCACCTGCCCCCTACATCCCCAATTTAAGATTCCACACTCATCCTACCAAGGAAAGAACTAGCTGGGAGACCAGAATAAGTCTGCACCAGGGTGGTGGACGAAGGTGACAGAGTGGGACTTTCTCTAGGAAGATAGCTGGTCTCCTAGAAGGGAAGGAGACGGGTCTCAGGATTGGGCTCCTACCTGCATGGATGCGAAGCCAGGCCACAGCCTTCCTTTCCAGGAGGTCCCACTCACACTTCAAGTCCTTCACATTGGCATGCAGCCAGATCACGGCCAGGATCGTGGCCCAGCCTGAAGGCTCCACAAGCTGTGCAATAGACAGAGAGTTCCTTGCAGGCCCCAAGTTGGAGTAGGAAGCCCCCAAGAGCATGCAAAAAGCTTCACTCCCTCTCCACTCGCCATCCTTCAGACTGCTACTAAATGGAATTGCCTTGTCCCTCTTTATCTCCACTGGGGCGACAATCCACTAAGTCTTAGGGTAGACAGTTCTCAAGTTTTAAATCCAGTGTAACCACCAAGACAGTGCTGGAAACCGCTAAAACACCAGGACAACTATTGCCCAGCTCTGGTAGGAGAAACATGTACATAATCACTTTATGAAGTGCCTTAATTTTTTTTTTTAATTTGAACCCCCTCAACCCTGAAAAAAATCATGAGAGAATATCAACCACATTTGTAAGAAAGAAAACTGATTCATACAGAAATAAAATGATTTTCCCAAAGCTAGCCTTCTAGCACTGATGGAGAGGAACTGAAGGCCAACTATTGAGAATCTAGGCATGTGGCTCATATTTCACAACAGAAAATCTCAGCCACAGAGCAGAAAATTGTCTCCCATGAGTTTTTAGAGTCAACAGATAAAGGGAAATTCCTCCTTTGTATCGTGACCTTTAAACTTTGGAAACAGCTATCATGTCCTCTCTGAGCATTCTTATTTCAGGTCAAAATTCTCAATTCCTTCCCTTCTTCCTTAAGAGGACTGCTTATGTCAAAGCAATAAGAATCTTCACACTTTTGTCATCCCAAATATCGTAATGATTTTTAAAACATATCTCCTTAAATGGTCACACCTGGAGAGAATACTGTAGCTTTTCAGCTAAACTTGTTGTGCTCCACTAATCACGGTTCAAATATACTCATTTATATTGTTCATAGTCATCTAAAACCTCCAATTTCCATGTGCAAGTGCTTGTAAGTTATTCTGCTTCTCTTCTGTACTTTTACTTTAGAATGCAAAATAGTACCTGAGTTGTATTCTGACTAATTTTTTTTCATGGAAAATCGCAATTCATAAGTCTTTTGGGCATTCTGATTCTCTTGTCTAACACTTTATCTTCCAGTTTTGTCATCTACAAATAGGAAAGCCTTGATCTACATCTTCTTCTAAATCTTCACTGAAACTATGAACCTCCAGAGAATTTAGAGCCTGGGGGGTCTGAAATTCTGTTTCAAGTTTGATACCAATTTATACTCAGTATTATGGGTTTTCAACTAGTTTGTACTTGGTCCATGTACTTACTCATCATTTTAAAAAAATGCAAAGCCTTACTGAAATTCAGATACACCAGGTCTGTCTATTCCTTTGATTTATTAGCCTGGTTACCACAACAAAGAAGGAAATGTCAGTCTGACTTTTCTTGTTGTCAGTGAATCTAAGCTAAAACTTCACGATCCTTGTATCCTCCTCCAAGTGTTTCTAAATTTAATTATTTGTTCTAGGACAGCATATTCCAATAGAAAAACATAAGGCTAGATATACAAGTACTTTTAGATTTCCTGGAAGCCACATTTAAAAAAGTAACAAGGAAGAGGTACAATTATTTTACTAATATGTTTTAACTCAATATATTAAAAAAATCATCATTTTAATAGGCAATCAATATAAAGTAAATACTAATAAAATATTTTGGTTTTTTTATACTCTTTGAAATCAATATGTACTTTACATCATAGCGCACCTCCACTCAATTAAAAACTTAGTTCCTCATTTGTATTAGCCACATTTCAAAGGCTCAATAGCCACAGGTGATCACTGGATACTATATTAAACGGTGCAATTACAGAATATCTGAAGTATATTTAATCACTTTCCACATTTGGAAAATTCAGAATGATTATTTGTCCTTTAGTTTTTTTGTACCTGTCTCATATTTAACAATTTCTCAATGACTATTAGAAGTTTTAGCAAGTTACTTTGAAATTCTGAAACGTAATTTATGATAGTCAGCATATTTCACCTCATTTGAATAACTAGATGGTTCCTATGAATACTTCACCTATCCTGACTTTAATTAACTTTTTCTAATACCTGGACCACTTCCTTTAGTATGAAGAGGACCAATAATGGGGTTATCACTGGGGGTTCTGAAGACAGATAATCATAGAATTGAATGTGGTTCTGCCACTGCCTGGCTGGATAAACCCACATGCATTATTACACCTCTCTAAGCTTCAGCTTCTTCATGTATAAACAGCAATACAAAGAGGATCTACCTTATCTAATTAATGTGAGAAATAAATAAGATCACGGATGTTAAGTGCTTAGCATAGTACCTGGCACAGAGTAATTGCTCACAAAATATTAGTTATATGACTAAGATGATTGGCAGGGAATATAATTAAAGTGGAAGAGCATTTTTGCTTTCCCTTTGCCATCCATTGGCACTAAACCATCAACTCCTACTAGCTAACCCATTAATTCCTTATTCTTTCTGCTCTTATATAACTAGAAAGACCTTTAATCTCTATTGACTACAAATTCATTTAGTCTATGGCTCCCTATATTCTCTTTCCTACGGTGGGTCCTGATCCACTCCAATTCTCATTACCTCCCTTCCTCCCTCAAAGACATACCTATTCCTTTTTTTTGTCATTTGAATCTTACCTCGGCAGGGTGTGCAGCCGTTATATCTTCCAAACTCATGGCTAGGGCCTTGGCCAGATCTTCATTCAGATCCCAAGAACCGTTTGCATTTTGTAGCGCTATCAGCTGTATAAGAAGATTCTCTCTAACAGCTTTGGGGCGAAAAAGAGAGAGAATGGGAAATTATAGAGCTACTGGCACCTTAGCATACGTCAGAGAGGCTGCCAATTTCAGAGGCGGGCTATAGCAAGAGTGCTACAGAGAGGAAGTCAAAGACAGCATCCAGAAGAGCTTCAAACCCAACTTGTGAAAGAATGATCAGTGCACAGGGACGCAAAGAGGGTGGCAGCAGAGTTCTGCAGGTGGAAGGCCCAGCCCGCAGGCAAGCTGTGTGAGCTGAGATGGCAATGGGGTTTGGCCACCTGGGGGTCACCTCAAACTCCATTGCGTAGGCTTCAAGGTCCTATATTAATGAAGCTAGCTGGACTGACCTTCATAAATATAGGGACTGAACAAATCTCACCTTCTGCCTGATGCTTTTCAAACAGATTACCTCCTAGGTAGAGAAAGACAAAAGACAGGAGAGCGTTGAAGCGGAGTTCTTCAGTCCCTATAGATCAAAGAAGTGAACTGAGGCCCACCTCACCTGTATGGTGAGTTTCCAAGTTGTTCCTATTGGTGGGAGAATGAGTCTTTTCCATCTTACCACAACGAGCCATACATTTCATCTTTTGGCTGCAACTCTGAGCTTGGGCCATTGCTACTCCTATATGTGTGACAGACAAACACTGGTGAGAAGAACTCCTTGTAAACGTGCTCACCTAGACGGTTCAGGCTCCTGCGATTCATTGATGTATAGTTATTGCAATCATAGTCCATGTATGTCATGCTTGCACAATAAGCAACACTCCTGCGACCCAATGCAGAGTGAAAATGATTGCTGAAGGGAAAAACTGAAAAATACCAATACGAACATCAGGACTGAGGCTCTCTGCAGTGGGCAAAGGATATTGACAATTTGAGACATACCCTCCCATCCACACTGGCTTCATTCACCACCCTTATTGTGCCATGCTTCTCTCATAAGCCCAGCTCCTGCACCCACCCTCACCCTCTAAATTCTCTTCCTACTTTCTACTCTGTCCTCTGGAATCCCTGACACAGGCTAAATAAACAATCTTTCCTGCATCTTTAGTTTCAGGACAAGAGGATTCTTCCTGTTCAGTCTTAATTTAAAACCAATTCATTTTCCCCAAAAACTGTTCTCCCTCTCTCCCTCTCAAATGGTTGTTGCTCAATGTATCACATTCCAAGTACCCAGCTCCTAATGATGCATCCAGACCATTACTCTTCCACCCTCACCTGGGCTACCTTCCACATGTCCTCACTACTGTCCCCTTCCAACCTCTTTGTCTCTTTCCATCATCCACTAAAGTATCTGAAAGCTAGACTGTAGACTTCCACTCCCTTGCAAGGCCTGCCATCACCTGGAGAAATTTCAGCACCCCTGTATATCTACAGGGGTGCCCATCCAACACCCTAATGCAAAGCTTCTTGAATTCCTCAAATACGATGACTTTCACTCCATTCTACTTCCTCCCAAGCTGTGATGACCTGGTTATCATGCAGAATATTTCTACTTGGAAAAAATGAATTTGAAAAAATCCTACTTTTAAAATATAGTACCTGATTTTTCCAGCTTCCTAACTTGGGGATTCCTATTTTTCCTGATCCTTGACCTCATCTTTACCACTAAATCCTTGATTCCTCTTCTTTTCTTCTATGACTCAACCTCCTTCCATCTATACTTTCTGCTCTAGTAGGCCTAAATCTCAGGCCCAAGACTGTACCACTTTCTTATCAATACTATCAATTCTATGTCCCTAATTTCTGTTCATCACAACTTTCTGGCAAAACCCCATTGTTGAAATTAAGCCACACTCTCATCTTGCCATTTTTATACTGAAGCTGCTGAATACTGCTGAAATGCATCACATAAACCACGATTCTTTTTAGCAGTTTGGTAAAGTATCCAAATGAAAGTGGACCCTCTTTGACAAAAGTTTCTGTTTCTCCGTGGGCCTTCCATTCTTCAATTGTCCCCAATGGCTCTTTCAAACTTTCTCCTTTTCTTCAAATTCTATATTCCACCACTTTCAGTCTATTATTGCCCATTAGCTAATCTTGCTATCTACTTCACTAAAACTATAGAAAAGTCATCAGAAAGAAACTCCAAAGACTTGCTCCTCAGGCTACGAACTACAAATCTAATCCTATTTCCACGCAAGTTGCCTCTCATTTCCCACCTCTCATTTACTCTTTGGCATCTTATAATGTTCTCTCCTGACCACACTGATGAAATTGTTCTTAGTAAGATCAGCAAGGACTTCTTTGACATTACCCAATAGTCCCATTCCAGTTTTTATTTTGGCTTCTCTGTAACATCTGATACTTTGATAACTCCCTTTGTTATAACATAGTTCCCTTTAGTTTGAATATGCACTCCTTTTCTTCCCACCTCATTGGTTCTTTTTTACTCTTTTTGTGGACCCCTCTGTTATCCACCCCTTACATACTGAGTGTTCTTCAGAGTTTCAGTCTCAATCCCCTTTTTGTCTCACTTTATACCTGCCCCCTAGATAATCTCATTCATTCTCATGACTTTAGTTATTACCTAGATGTTAACTATTGCCAAATGTATATCTTCACCTCTGATATGACTTTGAACACCAAATCTGTCTATACCCATTCCTACCTGACATCTTTCTGTGGATAATCCGTAGGCATCTGAAGTCTAAAATGCTCTAAAAATAATTCAACATTTTGCCCCCTAAACTTACTCCTGGTCTTTCCTCCCAACTTAAATAAATGATACTATAATCTACTCAGTTAGCCAGCCAGAAGTCTGGGCATCACCCTCAATGACTTACCACCTCCACATTCAATTTATCCCTAAATTGACCCTCTTACAATCTGCAATACCTGTTTTCTTCTTTTTTATAGTCACTGCTAGCACTTCAGTTTAAACCACTTCTTCCTCCTGGTTCAATACAATACATTGCTATCCAGTCTTCCTAGAAACTTTGCTTCTTCTCAAATCATTCTCACATGGATATAGGTATGATAATTATAACCCAGTTATCACATCAACTCCCTGCTGTTACTCATTCGATCTCTCTCAAAATATGGTTTAAACTGTTTCATACGGTTAATCATAAAAATAGAGTTAATAATGGTATCTAACTTACAGGATTGTCGTGAGGTTTAATTAACTTAGTATATGGAAAGTATTTAGAAAAAGACCCAGTAAGCCCATGTAAATTTTAGCTATCATGATTATCACCATCATCATTCACCAGTCTCTTGGTCCTTCCTCATCATTCCCCTAGGAATTTGAGACCTGGCCCCTGGGGCTTCTTGCAAAGTCTTATGATTATCCTCAGTAAGTTCCATTTCAAATGAATGATCGTTCCTACAGTCTAACTCAACATCCCTAGACCTCTGTTTTCTTCTACCTTTCCTCATTCTCCACTTGATCCTGTATGTTCGAGTCAAAGTATAACACATACTTCACTTGTATCAATACTTATTCTTTCTTATCTATGCATCTTTTCAGATGCTGATCTCGATACCTAGAATGTCTTTGTTCCCTACTCCTTGAAGCATAATCTATCCAACCCTTCAGGTCTCAGTTTAGATGTCACCTATTTGGAAAAGATTTCTTTGATTACCACACCACCACTACTGGGGCTGAAACCTCCCCTACCTGCTCTCACACACATTGGG